GTTGGCCTTCCTAACTGCCTCCCCACACTGCCGACCCATGTTCATCTTGGAGTCAATGATGACTCCAAGATCCTTTTCTGCCTCCATGCTGACAAGAGGGGAGTTCCCCAACCTGTAGGTATGGTGCCAGTTGTTCCTCCCCAGATGCATCACCTTGCACTTGTCTGTGTTGAAACCCATCCTATTCTCATCCGCCCACCCTTGTAACCTGTCTAGGTCAGATTGTAGCCTGTTGACTACCTCCTGAAAAGTTATTAGCCATACACCTGGAAGTGACAACAGAAAAGTGATTTATCTACAAAAACATTTGCTTGCTGTTGTAGGACAAAAGGACAATAGGAGAAAAACAGGGTGAGCAAGGAACACAGCTGAATACCTGCAGTAATTTATTTTCAAAAGCTTTCAGTAAGAAACAGAATGTTGTTGCTTGCAACTGCTATGCCTGGTGAAGAAATATAAAGTGAAAAAAAAAATCTCTCAGCTAAAAATAAGCATCTGTGACCTAGAATACAGCATAAGCTCTGTGTGGGTGCAACGTCAGTCTGTGCTACGTTGCAGGTTTGAGACCTGAGAGAGGTTTGTGATTCACTGGGAATTCCTGTAAATAGAGTGCAGTAAAATTGTAAAGAAAGGTCACTTTGCTTTAATGCAATATAGAAATGTAACCTACTAGTGAACATGTGGTAAAAGTCCTTCTCTGTGCCTTATCATAGGGGATTGTCTCATTACCTCAGACTGTAGTAGCTTTTGTTTTTACCAGTGGAGGTCCCTGGTTTCCTCCCCAGAATGTCTGCCAAGAGGGTAGCTATTACATAAAAAACAAATTGAATGCTGAAGAACAGAAAGAGTTAGAACAACAGGGAATGTCAACATTGCTGGAGCTAAAACATCAAAATGCACAGTTCACAGGGCACTCCACAATACACCTGAAATCAACTTTAAAAGAAGCAGCAATTAACAATGTAAAAACAATTAATTTGTGACACTGCATCATGTCTAATTAAAATTCACGTTGCAGCAAAAATTGGTCCCCCTTATTTGTTATTTTAAAGTGGACAAAATAATAGGAGATAGTGGCAACCCTCCTCAAAGAGTTATGTTCAGCTTTAGCAGTTTGGCTTATTAAAATTTTTTTTTAAGTCTTACATAGTTATAGGTCAAGAAGGCCATAGTCAGGTCAACTGGTCCACGACTGAGAGGGAATAGTTAGAATCTGCCTGCATATTTCTCACTGAAGAATCAAAACCAGTTCTGCTGAAGTTACAAGAATGAAAAAACTGAAAACATATATGGTAAATTAGTTGTCTAGTCAAGTAACAAAGGTACTGGTTGTTGTTCCAGAAGAAAGGCCATATTAAGAAAGATTCATTGCAAGCAAAACATCCGGGAGTGGTAGGACTTGTGACCATTATTTCAGATAGAAATGTGGAGAACGCTCACTATCTGTCATTCAAATTTGTCTCTGTGATTACTGGTCCCATTTTACTTGCCACTATCTAGCCCAGGGGTGGGCAAAATGTGGCCCAGAGGCCAGATGTGGTCCGCCAAGCCATTCTATCCATCCCATGGGACCCCTAAAAAATTTAGAAAATGAATATTAATCTGCCCTGGCCTGTCATGTGGCCCTCGATGGCTTGCCGAAACTCAGTAAGCAGCCCTCTGCCCAAAATAACTGCCCACCCCTGATTTAGCCCCATTTACTTTTCATATCCCACATAGAGCAGTGAGGCTTTTAAGCATGACATGAGATCTATTCACTGGGCGTGCTCAATTAATTTCTCTAACATCTTAAGAAAAACACTGAGTTCTTTGTTGCTGCTACTCAGTCAGTCAGGGGAAATATTAAAGGGCATCTATACAAGTGCTCTGGGGTGGGGGGAGAGGTGCTTTAATTAGAGCGGCTCTGAGATCCACTCTAATTAAAGCGACTGCAGTGTCTGTGTATTCAATGTCCCATGCTTCAAAATGGTGGCAAAGGCACTTTAACTAAAGCTCGTTCAACAAGATTTAAAATACCCCAGCCATAACTTTGAAATAGAGGGACACTGACTACACCTGATGTGGAGGCTGCTGGAGCATGCTAATTAGCATGCTCCAGCAGACTTGCGGCAGACGCAATTAATGGAGTCTGCTCTAATGTGTGCTAATTAATATGCATCGAAGCAGAGCTCCATCATGTGTATAGGTGCCCAAAGTGACTACAAACTGAAGAATTTTCTTCCTACCTGAAGTCTGAAGTGGAGTTGCCAGGCATGCAAAAAACTTTGGAGGCTATTTAAATAATCTGTTCTGCAAAAGGTAGTGACAAGGATGGGGGCAGGTAGAAGGAAAACTACATAGATGGAGCTCCATATAGGTAAGTAGGCAAACAATGGAGAAAGCCTCCCCTGACAACAACAAGCCATTGATGGAAGAGATGAATCACTACCACTTGGCCTTTTTTAATGTCAATGTATGTAGAGTACATGCAGCGTAGCACTCAGTGTTCTTCTGTAGTATAAAATCACAATTGAATAACTGAAATGCAGAATGTAACTCACTTAATTTGTTGAAGCACAAGTGAAGTCTGTCTAACTCAAATTGAAAATATCAAAAGGTCATTGTAAACATTGTACCACTTCAACAGGAGTGTCTTACTGCAAGAACCAGAAGTATACAATGAGAAGCGAACATTTTCCCTGCACTAGCTGCTTCAAAATGCAAAAGAAAAAAAAAGGCATTTGCAATATACATCAGTCACTGAGCAAGCCTAGCACAAGAGAACTAACATTTAATTCAGGCAAATGTCAAAGTTTGAGGCTATCCGCATGCTGTATACTTCAGGAGTCAGGAGGCATATGAGAGGCCATCCCATTTATTTCTGAAATAATGAATCAGCAGCAGTGAATAAACAAGGAAAAAAAACTCTCTGACAGTGGAACTGGAATTAGAGGATGGAGGAGGAAAACAAGTCATTAACAGAAACTGGCACTTGGTTTTGTTATCTCTTCACATTTTGCTTTCAATTCAAAATGCAGCAAAGGAACTTTCACATTTGACAAGATCTGACACAGCAGAAACCTGCCCCTTTTCAAGATCAGTTCATTACATTTATCTAAAAGATACATTTGCTTTAGAGGTTTATTTGAGCCTGTTGTGAAAAAGAAGAGCCTGTTTAGTGCAGCTATTAGAAACACTGCTTAAATGCAAAATCTAAAAGGATTTTGGAATGGTGTTTCTCTTTCCTTTAGTCTCAAATAAAGACTTATTAACTTCTGTTTAAAATACAAAGGAGAGTCAATTATCCAAACTAAGTGGACCCAAACACTGTTCATAAAATCCAATTGTTTGGCTAATGAAACACATACTAAATTGAACACACATCAGTGCCATTCTCTGAAGCAAGCCTGGCATCAGAATTGCCTCTTTCAATTTGTGGGTTATTTCAGTTTTTCCTGTCATTAAACAGTACTCTTTCTATTCAATGCCATTATTCTCATTTGTACCATGCACCACAGAGGTTGGCAGCACAACATGCAGTTAAATAGTGTGTGGATAATTCATGTTCTACTGTAATTTTTCAAATATTTTTGCTTTTTCATACTTGCATTTCTCATTCAGCATTTTATCTCATCATAGGTACCATTGGATGGACATGGGAAGCTCCTATTAAAGTTACTGCACTTAGACCTATACTGTGCCAGTTAAGCAAAAGGATGAAGAAAGAATACTGTGGTCCTAGGATGGGTGAGCCTGTTCCTGTCATGCTGCCTGTCCCTTCAACAAGCCACTGACTTTCACTTAACCTTTTTGAGAAATATAAGACTCCTGGAGCATCTGGAGAGAGAAGTTTCTTGTTCAGGTGCGCAAACACTACAGAAAAGGACCTGGGGGTTATAGTGGACAATAAGCTGAATATGAGCCAACAGTGTGCCCTTGTTGCCAAGAAGGCTAACGGCATACTGGGCTGCATTGGTAGGTGTGTTGCCAGCAAATCAAGGGAAATGATTCTTCCCCTCTATTCAGCACTGGTGAGGCCACATCTGGAATTTACTGTGTCCGGTTTTGGATCCCCCATTACAGAAAGAGTACAGACAAATTGGAGAGAGTCTAGTGGAGGGCAACAAGAATGGTTAGGGGGCTGGGGTACATGACTTATGAGAAGAGACTAAGGGAATTGGGCTTATTTTGTTTAGAGAAGAGAAGACCGGGCACATCTACATGCACATTAATGTGCCATAGGTACAGCACATTAAGTTTAGTACCAGTAATAACAGGTACTAACTGAATGCACAGTAACTGGCGTTACTACAGAGTAATGCCAGTGCACACCTTTTTAGTGATGCTAATGCACAGTATACTAATTCTGTCACGGGGTGTACTGCCAATCTCAGGGGGTGCATGTGTACCCTCTACATGTCACCAAGGAGTGGAGACCAACTACTGGTAAAGATTTTCCTGTGAACCAGTGGTATTCATCTGGCACAATTTTACTCAAGGTAAATCAGGTGAGGCTTCAGTTTCATGTCTGCTAGAGGCACTGTTTACATACAGCAAATATTAATTAAAACAATAGCATATTTTAGTACAAATAGTTACAACAGCTTTTACTTCAGCACGGTTCAGTGAGATGGATGATTTTATCCATGGCAGCATGAGAAGGAAAGACTGACAGGATGACCTGCACATCTCTTCAGTAGAACAGGCTCCAGGGAAGAGTCTGAGGGCAGAAGAGGTGGACTTCACCTGCTGTGCCCTCATTCTGTCCATTCACTTTGCTGCTGACATGGCCCTGAGGCACCTACCTGCTGCCTTTCACCCTCACATCTCCATATTGGCTGTGCATCAGCTGGAAAGCAAATAACCTTGAAGAGGAAAACCCCTCCTTGCTGGAGCCACAACAGATCCTGCTGGACAGACAGAAGTGTCACTGCAGGGAAAACGAACAGAGTCTGTAGTGCTGCTGATACTATGAGAGATTTTTGGTGGAGCTGGAATCTGAGAGAAAGCCCCCTCTGTTACTATATTTTTTCTAATATTCAAATTGTAAAAAAATGGTGTCCAAAATGTTCAATACCCACCCAGATAGACCAAGTCCTATTAAACAACTATATTTGATCTAATGTAATAAAGCTGTGTAATAGGGACGTCCACTCGGCAATGACTTTAGCAGTAATAATCAGTTATGTGACCAGATAGGTAGATTATGTTCAATAACCAGGTGGTATAAGTGGGACAGAGGTAGCTTGTCACTCATGGGCAGTATCTCAGCCCATAACAGTAATAAGGATAAGATACCAACGCATACGAGAATCCTGGGGGAAAGTAAAGCAACAGACCGGAGTTAGGCTATTGCTAATGAAAAACATGAATCAACTTTTACCTTCAGAAAGCAAAACAGGAATGAACTGGGATTTTACTGCAAGGGAGTGGACTCCTGTACTGTCAAACAGACCCCAGAACATGTCTCAAAATCCCTTGCTTTGCGAGCACTTACTAGTTTGCGAGCTTTAAAAAAAAAAAAAAAAAA